ACTTAAAAATGGTTAAAATGGGGAGTGCCTGGGTGGCTCAGTCGGTTAAGCATCTGATCTTGGCTTCGGCTCAGGTCATGATCTTGGGGTCCTGGAATGGAACCTCTCCTAGGGCTCCATGCCCAGTGCAGAGTCTGCTTGTCTCTCTCTCTCCTCCTCCGCTCTCCCCCTCACCCTTGCACGCACGCGCGCTCTCTCTCTCTCTCTCAAATAAATAAATAAAATCTTTTAAAAAGTGGTTAAAATGGTTAAAATAAAATGGTAAGTTTTATTTATGTCTTTTGTTACAATAAAAAAAGAGTTCTTTTTGGAGCATGGGACTGGGAGGAAGGGTAGAGCAGAGAACCAATGCTTTTTTTGTTAAAAGTCTTTTTCTTGTTTTATTTTCCTAAGACAGTGTGCATGGGTTTTTTTTTTCTTTAGATTTTATTTATTTTTAAATAAACTCTACACCCAATGTGGGGCTTGAACCTACAACCTTGAGATGAAGAGTCACATGCTCTACCAACTGAGCCAGCCAGGTGCCCCATACATGTTTTATCTCAACAAAAAAATTTTTTTGAGAGAGAGAGAGAGCATAAGCATGGGTGGGGAGGGGTAGAGGAAGAAGGAGAGAGCAAATCTTAAGCAGGCTCCATGCCTAGTCCCGAGCCCCATGCGGGGCTGGATCTCACAACCCTGAGATCATGACCTGAACTGAAATCAAGGGTGGGACACTTAACCAATTGAGCTCAACCAGATGCCCCTCAATAAAAGTTTTTACTAGCAGGCTTCTTGATGAGTGCCATCGATCATGTACAGGGACTAGCATGTTTGGTGAGGTTTTTTACAGCAAAGCAGTGAGTGCAAAGGGGTTGCTCAGACTTGGAATTAGCCTCGGAGTCGGATCTGGGAAGAAATCTTGCTCAATGACCTTGGGCAAATTTCTTTTCTCTGGTGTAATTTTTCATAGCTCTCTGTTGTAATTGACTGGATATGAAAAATGTCCCTTTTAAAGAATCTTCACTGGATGTCCGAGGTGGGAGCTGTCTGGGTAGAAATGCAGAGCTCCTGAAGGAGAGGAGGAAAATAGAGACTGCTAGCAGCCCCGGCGAAGGAAAAGGGAGAGGAGAATGAGGAAGGGTTCTCATTTTGTTTCGTTTTGTGTTTTGTGTTTGTTTTTGTTTTTTTTTTTAAGTAGGTTCCACGCCCAATGTGGGACTTGAGCTCACGACCCTGAGATCCAAGAGTCAGATGCTCTACCGACTGAGGCAGCCAGGCGCCCCTGGATTCTCATTTTGAAAGTAGAGATGACGGTGCCCAGAGACAACATAACACTCACACTCTGCCTGTCCGATCTGGTAGCCAGTACCCAAAACAAAAAACAAACAACGAGGCTGACAAAAAATTGTTCTAAAAACGGCTGTTTCTGATATTCAAACTGAAAGTGAAAATTGGGAACTTGTCCTGAACTGCTATGCAGAGTAACATTACTTTGATCACAACCAGGAATTGATGGCAGACACAGGCAGATAGGATCTTAAAACAATCACAATTTTCTGGCAACTCAAAACTGAAAAACTTTATTTATTTATTTATTTATTTATTTTAATTATTTTTTTATTAAAAGATTTTATTTATTTATTTGAGAGAGAGAATGAGATAGAGAGCACGAGAGGGGGGAGGGTCAGAGGGAGAAGCAGGCTCCCTGCCGAGCAGGGAGCCCGATGCGGGACTCGATCCCGGGACTCCAGGATCATGACCTGAGCCGGAGGCAGTCGCTTAACCAACTGAGCCACCCAGGCGCCCTATTTATTTATTTATTTATTAAAGATTTTATTTATTTATTTGACAGAGAGAGACACAGCGAGAGAGGGAACACAAGCAGGGGGAGTGGGAGAGGGAGAAGCAGGCTTCCTGCTGAGCAGGGAGCCCCATGTGGGGCTCGATCCCAGGACCCCGGGATCATGACCTGATCAGCCCTGCAGGCCAGGGCCAGTCTATTGTTCCCAAGGAAAACCTGCCCACAGATGACAGGCTCCACTTTCTCATCAAGCTGCCTTAGGGATGTAAGACAACAACAACAGCGGCCCCAACAACAAAAAACCTTTCTCAGAGTGAACAGCTGCTGTCAATTGCTCACTCTTCCACCCCGCGTCCTGGGCTGTGACTCTGCCTGTCTGCATCTGACCCATTCCCCCAAGCCCGACTTAAATGCCTCCTCCTCCATGGTGCCTTCCTGCTCCCTTCCTTCTTCCAGGCTCTTTTTCTCCACCGTACTGGGTATGACCCACATGTCGTGGAATACGTTCACCTCCCTACCACGACTGTCTTTAAATAACTAAGTAGTTGACCTCTCTGAGCCTGTTACTTTCTTTGAAAAACCGAAATAATGTCTGCCTTATAAGGCTGTTATGAGTTAAAAGAAATAACATATGTAAATCATAGCCCTGGACAGAATGCTCTTACATATGTAAGTCTGATGTTATCACTCTCAAACACATTCCCACGCAGCCCTGTACGTTTACACAGGTTTTGTCTGTATGTGGTAGGGCCCTTATCCTTTCTACTTTTTATAATAATTACTTGTGTTGATTGTAGGTCTTTTGGGGGCAGGGATGAGAGGGTGTAGTGGGAACAAACCGGATTTGGAATCAAAAGATTTAGGTCTGCCCCTATGGGACTGAGGAAAAGTTACTTCTCCCTGAGTTTCTTCCTTAATAGAAAAGAGACAACAGGGGCGCCTGGTGGGCTCAGTCAGTTAAAGGGTTAAGCGTTGGGCTCTTGATTTTGGCTTACGTCAGTCACGATCTCAGGGTCGTGAGATCGAGCCCCCGCTTCAGATTCTCTCCCCCTCACCAACTCACATGAGTGCATGCTCTCTAAAAAAGAGAGAGAGAACAATAAAATGCACTGTATAGTCTTTTTGTGTACTTTATCACAATGAGATAATGGATGCTCAAGGGCTTTAGAGATTGCCAAGTGCTAATGTATAATTATGCAGTTGCCTTGTCTGGTTCCCAGAAGCCTGGCACAGTGCCTTGTTGGGGGTAGGAGGGGTGTGCACAAGGATTTGTGAAGTGAATCTGTCATGGCACTGACTTCATTTGGTCTTCACAGTTGCTCTCTGAGAGAAACTTTGATGTGCCCATTTCAAAGATGAGCAAACTGAGGTGTGAAGTGGATAAAGTGCTTCACTTGTTCATTCATTCATTCATTCATTCATTCATTCAGCAGACTTTTGAATGAGAACCACCATGCCTCAGACACTGGGGATACAAAGACAAAACCCCTCCCTCACAGTCCAGAGTGGAGTACAGACACATAAAGGTAAGTATAACACAAGGCAAGTTATGAATTATGGCTAATATTTATCAGGTACTTACTAAATTACTAAATGCCAGTCACTACGGTAAGCTCGTGGTGTTTTGCTCATTCAGTCCTCCCCAGACTCTACCAGCTAGGTACCATTACTATGCACATTTGTCATCTCTCCATGCCTAAATAGGGCATGGTGATTGCTTAAGCTTTCATAAACAGCAACTGGCAGAGTCAGAGGCCCTACCTTAGCCACCTAGCTCTAGCACCTCTGATAGTAAGGTAGCACATGGGAAATTATCAGAGTCCCGAGGAGGGACCCCTAACTAGCTCTGGGCTTCACACTGGGGAGGTTTCCTGAAGGACTAGAAATGAGCTAAACAGAGGTGCATTGGGAAGCAAGGCCATCCCAGGAGAGAGAAAGGTGTGGAGGCTGATGTAGGAAAGACCTTAGGGTTCGAAGCCGGCGGCCAAGAAAGAATCCTTGAGACATCTCTGGTGCAAAAAGGTGGTTTTATTAAAGCCAGGGACAGGACCCGTGGGCAGAAAGAGCTGCCCCAGGGTCGCGAGGAATGGCCTATTAAATACTTTCAAGTTGGGAGGGGGTTAAGGATAGCCTAAGTCTCTAAGGAATTTTGGAAGCAAGGTTTCCAGGACCTTGAGGGGGCTAGCTATTGTTGGGAAAAGGTCATTTATTACTGTCTAATAAAACCTTAGTCATGAGATCCTTCAGATGTATATCGGTGGGTCATATGCTTGGGGGATGATTGCCAACGTGTATCTTATAGGGGTAGAGATAAAGGAAGTTTCCAAAGGAATTTTTATATGTTAAAGTAGACTTACAGGATCCTGGGGTGGGGTGGGGGCGGGGGTGTCAGGCTTGCTTTACCCTTAGCAAGGTTTTAACATGGAGGCAGCTGAGTTCCAAGAGGAATGTCACTCTGCCTGTTTTAAGGACTTATCAGTGGGCTGTAAGTAGTAAGGAAATTTAATAATTTTTCTTCTGCCTTTGTTTCCTACATCAGAGGCCACCTAATGAAGTCTACACAGCATCCCAGGCTAGGAGGGACTGGGGTTTGTGAGGGGACTGCAGAAGCAGGCAGGGCCCAGTCTAGAAAGGAGAGTGGTCCATATTCTAGAGGTAGCCAGAGGTTTGAAGGGTTTGAAGCAGAGGAAAAACTTGGTTAGATTTTTAGAACGGTCATCTGGGCAGCTGGGTAGAGATGGATGGCAGGGAAAGAGACTCAGAATAATCCAGGCGCGAGGTGATGGCCACCTGGACAAGGGCTGGAGCAGGGAAGAGGAGATAAGAGAGATTCAGAGGCTGAATTTTCAGGGTGATGATCATTTGGGGATTAAGTAAAGAGGACCGGAGCAATTTTGAAAGACGTGCAGTTTTGGCTCCTAATCAACGAGCATGGGGGTGATCTGATAAAGTCAGTTTGGGATGCAATCCAGGTCTCCTGGCGCCCAGTCCCGTGCCCTTTCGCCTCCTGGCGCTGCCAGCGATGGTGACGTACCCCGGGCCACTGGGGAAAAAACCACCGCTCAGCCGGGTAACCGAACTCTCAACTTTGAACCCCACCCTTCCGGAGGCGGCGGCCACTGCAGTGTGCCCTCCTCGGCGCCAGAGGGCGTTCCCGCACACGCCCTGGCCGCTCTGGCCCCGCCCTTCTCAGTGGCCGCGGAAGGTGACGTGGACACGGAAGTGGTCGTCGTCGCGGCGGCACCAGTGGGAGCTGGGCGCGGGGCTCAGAGTGCAGCGGGCGGTCGGGCGGACGGCGGCGGCTTGCACCTGCGGCGGCGGCGGACGCGGGCGTTGTCGGTTGGGTGCGAGCCCACTGAACCGACGAGCGGCTTCTCAGCCCCTCTCCTGCCCGTCGGAGCCCCTGGAGCCGGGACCGCTCGGCCGGCGTCACCATGACCAAGGCCGGTAGCAAGGGCGGGAACCTCCGCGACAAGCTGGACGGCAACGAGCTGGACCTGAGCCTCAGCGACCTGAACGAGGTCCCGGTCAAGGAGCTGGTCAGTACAGCCCCGCGAGGCCCAGGTCCCCGCCCCAGACTGGCGCAGGCCCCTGTGCGGGTCGCCTCCTTTCGCACGCCTCAGTTTCCAGATCTTAAAACTAGGTGGGAGGAGTGGGACTGAGTTCGCGGGGAGCCCACCTCTGCCCGCAGTTTTCTTCCTGGGATGTACACGTGTCACATTGGCGCAGTTCCAGAAGATGAGAAGGTGCTGCTTGTTCGACCCTGGGCTTTTTACGAGTCAGGAGTGAATCTCCCCTCCTATCTGGGGGGCTTTCACAGCACTCACCTCCGTGTTTGACTCAAAGTAGGCGCCCACGGAGTGGTTGCTGGCTGTTCGGAGAATGAATGAGTAAATGAATGAATGACTCCTCTGAGAAGTAGGCCTCTGGGTACACCTGGGTGTGGCCCGGAACCTTGCATTTCTTGGAAGCTGGCAATCCGGCTGGCTGTCCTGGCCCCTGAGGTGTCCTTCCTTGAAGACTGTGTAGTGTCACTGCTAGGTTGGCAAGGGCTCTTCCCAACTCAGCTTAAACTGGCTGGAATCCAGTTGCTGCTGCCCCCCCCGCCAAACCATTCCCAAACTCCCAGCCAGGAAACTGAGGCCTGAGGTCCCAGGAAGATTAGTTTGTTGCCAAAGTGGAGTTAGATCATAGTCCCTGCTTTTCCCACCAGGTTTCCTACCGGCACACTAGGGTCACTTTGGGTGCCCTACATTTTCCTGCCTTTAATGAATTACATTTGCCTTTGGCACTTGGCTCTGTAGTGTGGAGGTTAGAACAGATTTCCAGTTCATACTTCAGTTCCATTGAAGAGCTGCGTCCCTGCCCTTGGCAAGCTAGTTAACCTTTATACCCAAAGATTTCCTCATTTATAAAATGGTGATAATAGTTCCCATTTTACAGGGCTGTGAGGATTAAGATTGTAATGTAATATACTTGGTAGGTAGTAAATGAGATTGTAATGTAATATACTTGGTAGGTAGTAAATGTTGGTGCATGCAGCTGTTATATTATTACTACTATTATATTCCAGTGCTAATTTTTAAAGGCCTTCCTAATTGTGGGAATTTTCTCTGGAAAATGCCTCATGTCACTGAACCTTTCCATGTGTTGGTTTGACATTTTGTTCTCATTCCTTTTCCTAGGCTGCCCTCCCGAAGGCCACCATACTGGATCTGTCCTGCAATAAACTGACTAGTCTACCGGTGAGATTGGCAGGCGAGCCCACTTCCTTCTAGAGCCCTGATGCTTCTTGTTTGAGGGAGTTATGTCTTAAGAGCCGTAATTTCAGGACAGGCCGCAGACAAGCTATAACTGAATGGGAGTGTGCTGGGGGAGGGGTGGGGTGGTTTGTCTCAGCAAGAAGGGAAGCACAGTAGAGGCTTCATTCTTTAGAACAGTGGGAAAGTCAGGCCATGAAAAACTAAAGTCAACAGAATGCTGGCTGGATCACTTATTGGGGTCATCTTTTTCTCTGCCTTATTTCATTCCTTTGAAAAATAGTTTACCTCCTTATCATATAGAGGAGAGTAGAGGCCATTCTGTACGTTCCTCTGCATTCCAGGGAGAAAGCTGTTTATGAACAGCCTCCTTGTGTATCTTTTGATGAGGAACAGGAAAAAAATGTGGCTTTTGGGGACTACTGTAGCATTATTCTCCTAACCCTTGAATTACTTTGAGACACTTTTTTGTTCAACACATCCAGCCTGTGGTCAGATCCTTTTGATTTTTCTTCCATAACTTCTCCCAGTTCTTCTTCTCCATTATATGCTTTGTGATGTCTTCAGTCTGCAGTCCTTTACCTTCGTAGGCCCCAGAATGGTTCAGCCCTTCAGCCCCTCCTGGGTGATGGCAGGTCTGTGCTCCAGAGCAGCGCACCTTCACTGTCAGGCCTGAGTCTGTTGCCATTGTTGTGTTTACCAGTGATCACTCTGGCCGTATCATTCCGTGCCCGGCTCCCCTGGGCTCTGCTTGGGAATTGGGTCTCAGAAGTTGGCAGTTTCTTCATTGGGTCCCCCATTAGTCTGTTCCCCTGTCAGTATTCCCCTGGGCCTCACTCATTCTCTCTAGCATCTTCCCGCAGCTCAGCAAGAACCGTTTCTCACGATGAAAAAGCATTCGAGATCCCACTGCTTCTAGGAGGCATTTCATGTCTAGTGAAAGTGTGGTGGCAAGTGCTTGCCGCCCACTGTGCACACTGTCGGTAGTCACGACGCGGCCCCCAGTGCGCTTTTCAGTATGAATGTGTTCAGTTGTTTGTGCCTTCCTCGGCAGTGCTGATCTGCTGGCGGTTACAGGTCCCCCGAGAGCGTGAGCAGGGCCTTTGTGCCGAGGTGGCAGCAGAACTGTAGATGGGTGCTATGCTAGGTGCTGCAAAGAACAGAGAAGAAGACCGAGTACTTGAGGGACGTTCGATCTTTTTAGGGAAGTGGATGGTCATGCTGCGCTTTGACAGCTCCTGAGAAAGGAGAGCATAGGGTGCCGTGGGGGGGCCGGACAGGCCCCTAGTCCCTCCAGAAGCAATGTGGAGGTCGGGTTGGAGGGTGCACAGAGCATGAGGGAACACACACTTATTTTGTGCCTCCTTTGTCCACTCTGGACGCATCTCACTACTTAGAGCAGAAGTGCTGGGGGTCGGCTGCATCTCCTTCCAGGTGGAAGAGCTGGTGGCGGGTAGGGTCAGGGTTCACCTGCATCATCACTCCGAGCTGTGAGCCCGGGGCCTAGGTGTTCCCTGTCTGGGTCCTAGGCGGATTTCTGCGGCCTCACACACCTGGTGAAGCTGGACCTGAGTAAGAATAAACTGCAGCAACTGCCGGCCGACTTTGGCCGTCTGGTCAACCTCCAGCACCTGGATCTCCTCAACAACAGGCTGGTGACCCTGCCCGTCAGCTTTGCTCAGCTCAAGGTAACAGTTCAGGAACGAGTGTTTCATGCCGGGCGAGGCTGAGGGCCCAGGGATGGGTGGAGCACGGCCGTGAGTGGCTGGCACGAATACCACTTTGGGGGTGCTGCCTCGGAAGGCTAGGGCTTTCTTCCTGCTCGTTTGGTTCACCTTGAGGGACTCTGAACCTGGGCTTGACCAGCCTCTCTGTCCTATCTCTTCAGAGCCTGAAGTGGCTGGACTTGAAGGATAACCCGCTGGATCCTGCCCTGGCCAAAGTGGCAGGGGATTGCCTGGACGAGAAGCAGTGTAAGCAATGTGCCAACAAGGTAAGCACGAAGCTCCCCGGGGTCTCCTCCACACGGTCGCACAGTCCCCTGGGACTTCCTCTGCGTCCTCTTGTTTTTCCCTCCCAGGGCACACACCTCCCCTGTTCGAGGTTTCCAGCACTAAGGCCTCAGTGAAATATGGCTACTATCAGCCTGTCAGGCAGAGGGACCTTTGTTTCTGTGTTGACTTTACAAGTAGGAGAACAGTACTAGCTATTCTACTGCAGAACTTCCATTCTTAAGAAACCAGGACCTTGGGGCGCCTGGGTGGCTCAGTCAGTTAAGCGGCAGCCTTTGGCTCAGGTCATGATCCCAGGGTCCTGGGATCGAGCCCCACATCGGGCTCCTTGCTCCGTGGGGAGCTTCTCCCCTGCTTGTTCGCTCTTTTTCTCTGTGACGAGTAAATCAATAAATAAAATCTTAAGGAAAGAAACTGGGACCTTGCCTAATCCAGCATTACACCATTGACAGTTCTTTAAATGGGACAAGATTATCTGAGTCACAGTTATTGTAGGAATTTTGATAATAAGTGTTGTTAATATTCGTAAGCTTATATACCTATAAGCAGACACATCTTGGGCAGATCTGACATTTGATTTCAGTCAGGGTTTCTGATGTAGGAGCGAGGAACTAAAGGCAGAATGGAAGGCAGGCGTTGCCAACAGCCCTGAAGATGCCTCGCACTGCTTTTTTTTTTTTTTTTTTTAAGGATTTTTATTTTATTTTTAGAGAACGTGTGCGAGAGGGGAAGGGCAGAGGCAGAGAGAGAGAATCCCAAGCAGGCTCCACACTGAGTGCAGAGTCCAACGTAGGGCTCAGGCTCATGACCCTGAGCTCACGACCTGAGCCAAAATCAAAAGTCGGACATTTAACCAGTTGAGTCCCCCCAGGCGCCCCATGCCTCACATTGCATCTCTCCAACACCAGCCATGGTCACTTTTTCCCTCCGGCTTTAGAAGAGCTGAGCGCCAGATGGCTTACTTGGCCACGTTTAGGAGGCATGATGAACAGAAAGGACTCGAAATGCTTTAACTTCAAATGCTAGAATTATTGGAAGTGAAATGTGGGCATGGTGGGTCTCTAGGTGAATCTCAGGGATAATGGCTTTCCTTATTGTTAGTTCAGGGCTTCTTAGAAAGTCTCATCATGTATCTCACCTGTTGTCACAGGAGACCAGGGACAAGGTCATTGCAGCCCGGTAGCCACGGCAACAGCTTGCCCTTAGCTGCGAACAGTACAAGTGATCAGTGAAGGCCCCGTGCTCTAGGTGTGCTGTCTGTTCGGAAGAAGGGCAGGAGCTCTGGCCAACCACCCTTCCTTCGTCCCGCGTGCTTTACGCCTCACCTCATGATCCTCATAACCCTGGGAAGTAGAGCTCCCTTCCATGTGTCTGACACAAGAAACGCTCACCATGCACACATTTTTCATTTATCCATGTATTCATTCAACTAATAATATGTTAAACCATGTGAAATTGCTGATACCCCACAAAGATCATTTTTATTGAGCACCAAGATCTTTAGTATTAGCCTATAGCTTCCGGACAGAGCTCCAGGTAGCCCACTGCATTGTGGGTAGGGTCACTGAAGCCATGCTCCCTGGCTCTGTGGCCCAACGCGGTCTCCCTAGTGCAGCGTGCAGCACACCGTTAGGCGTCGTAGTGGAGTGGCTCGGGCCAGCCGGGATGAGGTCACTTGTCGCCAGGAGTTAGCTTAGACCTCACCAGCTCTGACTGTGTGGGTGCATGGGTCAGCTGCAGTAACTGATAAGCTTGGTGCAGAATACAGCCCCTTTTAAAAATAATTTGTTAGCTGGACAGTATTTATCAACTGCTTACTGTAGGCTGTGGACTGGCCCAGGTGGACAAAATCTGCCCTCCGGGCCTCCCAGTCCAGACTAGAAGAGTCACTCCCATTTCTGAGCTTGCTGTGTTGTCACGTAACTCCTGATGTATTGGAGCCCGGGTGAAAAGGGATGTCTCTTAAACCTCTCGGCTCTTTATTTAGCCACCCATACACCCCTTAAATCACCGGAATGGTTGGTGTTTATTTAGTATTTGGAGTTCAGACTGAGATGGGGACTTTGAACTTGGACTGCCTCCCAACATCAGGCTTGACCTTCCAACAGATTTTGCACTTCTTGTTGAGTGGCCATTGTTTAGTGAGCTTGACTCCCTTCCGAGAGGTTGCAGCAGGTTCAAGGCCCAGGACAGGGTTTCTCATGGCTTCAAAGCAGGCTTTTTTTTTTTTTTTTTTAAGATTTTATTTATTTGACAGAGAGAAAGACAGCAAGAGAGGGAACACAAGCAGGGGGAGTGGGAGAGGGAGAAGCAGACTCCCTGCCGAGGAGGGAGCCCAATGCGGGGCTCGATCCCAGGACCCTGGGATCATGACCTGAGCCAAAGGCAGATGCTTAACAACTGCACACCTAGGCGCCCCTCAAAGCAGGCTCTTGCAGGGAGCCCAAGAGGTTAAGTCACTTGCTAAGGTCACACGTTTAGGAAGTGGTAGAGAGGATTGTGCTGGGCTCTAAGCTTTCACTCTGTCCTCTACATCCAAGGGATACCAGCTTCTAAAGATACAAACCTAAAAAATAAGTCTTTTTACCTCACCGTGCCCATAGTGAGAATCTCTGGGGCTCTCGGAGTCAGAGGCCATCCGTGACTGAGTGGATGAGGATTGAGGGGCTCTGGGCGCCAGGGCTTTGTCTGCTGGGTGGGCTGAAGGGCGCTTCCCTTCCTCCTAGAGGCTGCCTTGCTCTGTGTGCTGATGTGAGTGGGACAGGCTCTGGCCCCAGAGCTCAGAAGACCGTAGCTCTTAGCTGGGCTACTTTGGAGCCATGTGATGGGGACAAATCACCCCCCGCCCCCAGCCTTGGCTTTTTGCCTCTTGAAATGGGGAGCCAGGCAGTCGTTCATCAAACATGTATTGAGTGTCTAGCCGGCAGATGGGACAGCAGTCTCCCGGCTTAGGGAACCTAGTGTTGTGACCGAGAGAGTAAGCCGCCTCCTGAGGACAGGGAGGGGCGGCACTTGCATAAGGTAGCCAAGGGAGCGAGGGCGGGGAGCCTTGGGGAGAAGTGCTGTCCCCGCTTGTCAGCAGAGTTGCTGGGGGATGGCGCGTGATGGTAACTAAAGAGCAGGACATTTGATTTCAGTCAAGGTTTCTGATGTAGGAGCGAGGAACTAAAGGCAGAATGGAAGGCAGGCATTGCCTTCCTTTAGTTCCTCGCTCCTACATCAGAAACCTTGACTGAAATCAAATGTCAGCATTTGATTTCAGCACACTCCAGTTGGCAGCACGTTTCACAGATGTGTCTGCTCACAGCTTTACTGGCCTGGGCTCGAATGACCCATCTCCAGCTAAGGCCGGCGTTGTGAGTTAGGAGACAGGGATGCGATTGCCTCCCTTAACTGTGTGTTGCATGGGGCTGCACCAGCCTGAAAAGAGCAGGGGGCGCCTTGGAGCCTCCCTAGCGGACATGCGCCCGGCGGCGCCCCCTGCTGGGGCACTTCACCCCTCTCCCTCCGCAGGTGTTACAGCACATGAAAGCCGTGCAGGCCGATCAGGAGCGAGAGAGGCAGCGGCGGCTGGAAGTAGAACGAGGTACGTGCCATCCCTCCTCCCGCCGTCTTCCTGTCCTTCCCCAGCCGCTGACTCCTGTGTGGCAGGAGCTGGGGTCCATGGAAGCGGCCGGGAGCCGTGTGGCGGTGTACGGCCTCATCTCTGTCCGACAGGTCTGTCTCTGATCCCCAGCTCCAGAGGCCTGCAGCCTGCTGGGAGGGTTAAGAGGCATCAGAATTTAAGCATGGCCAAGACAGTCCCCTTCAAGCCCTCCCAGGGGCCCCCTGTAATAGGCAGTCCCCATTCCTGCACTTACTCAAGCCTGAAATTGGAAAGATGGCCAGCAAGTCCTGTGTGTGATGCTCCCTCCCCTCCGGGCCGCCCTGTGACTCAGCTTCCATGCTGTAGCCGGCCCTGGCACCTCCCCGCTCCGTGGCCTGTCTCCACACTCGTGCCCCCTCCGTGGCAGCCATGGAGATGTTCTTAAAACAGAAGTCAGTTACGCTGCTATTTACTTAAAATGCTCTAATGGCTGCTGATGGAACTTAGGATGAAATTCAAACTTTATTTGGTCTCTGACAAGGCCCCCCGTGGCCCCAACCTCCTTGCTTCCTCCGCTCTGTCCCACATGCCGGGGAGAGAATGCTGGTAACTCCAGTCGCACGAGCCTCTGCTGTTGCTCGAACACTCCGAGGCCGCTCTCGCTTCAGGGGCTGTGTCTAGTTGCTTTTCCCTCGGGTCCTTACACAGCTGGGTTCGTGTGCTTCCTTATGTCTGCTCACATGTTGCCTTAGCGTTACCATAACCCCTTCAGAAGCACCCTGACTTGGGTTGCCATCTCGCCTGTCACTCCATCACAACCTCTCTTACTCTCTCTGTGGCTCACATCATTGTCTTCTTTACTCTGTTCATTTGTTTCCGTCTCTAGAAAGCTTTAGGCACTGGAACCTGACTTGTCTTCACCGCTGGATCCCGAGCACTTAGAACAAGGCTTGGGGCACAGTGGGCGCTTGTTGGGGACTGACTTCTGAGCCCCCACTACTGGAGGACTCCTGGGATTGGGGAGGGATGGGCATGGTCCTGGTCCTGGGCAAACCCTGAGGTGGAGCCCGAGTGACACCAGGCCCTTATACGTGTGCGGCCCCTGTGATGCCGTGTTTCCTTGGACCACGGCTGCTTGGCCTCCTGCCGCCACAGGCTCTCTCCAGGCTGTGTGTCGTGTGCCCTTGGCGTTCTCAGTGCCCAGCTGGAACTTGGAGCTTGTTTGTACATAGAAGAACAGTGGAAAGCTCCAGTACTTAGCGTACTACTCTTCAGCTACATTATGGGTCAGATAGGGTTTTAAGCCCTAAAAGGACATTTAACTCCCTAATTTGTGGCATTCTGGCTTTGGAAAAATGTACTTCACGCTTCCAAATAACTCATTTGGAAGTGCATTTTTGGAAGCCAGTGGTTTGTAAGTTGGGTACTGGATGTGAACGCACTTGAACCGTGAAGTAAATCAGAAGGCATCACAGACTCCTGAGGTGAAGTGTAGAGATTATCCTCTGACAAATTATTAGTCTTGCTTTCTCAGGAAAACATTTCCATCTTCTCTCACTGTGAACTTGAGCACTCACTTCCTCTTCTTCCCTGCCCTTCCCATGCCACGTTCCTTTCCGAGGCTTGGGAAGATAGGAATCCCATAGAATCCACACCCCTGCTGTCTCTTCTCTCGACAGCCTAGTTGTAGAAGGCGGTCACTCGCTGTGCTTTCTGAATCCCCCAGCTCGTCACCCATGCCCCTTATTACATCACCCCAATCTCTGCTGCATGGGGCTCGGGACCCTTTAATCCATTCAGCACACCTTGAGAGCAGCTTGTTGTGTCTGAGGGAGGGCTTACCTCTCTGAGAGCAGAGAAACCGCCGTTTCCTCTTAATACAGCTTACGTGACCTGTGGTATAAGGGAAGGGAGGCCGAACCCAAGCTTTTAGTTCCTCGGGGAAGCACTCTTGCAGGTTGGGGGGGTGGTGAGAAGTCATTTTGGGGTGTATTTTCCTGCAGAGGCCGAGAAGAAGCGGGAGGCCAAGCAGCGAGCTAAGGAGGCTCAGGAGCGGGAGCTGCGGAAGCGGGAGAAGGCGGAAGAGAAGGAGCGCCGGAGAAAGGAGTACGATGCCCTCAAAGCAGCCAAGCGGGAGCAGGAGAAGAAGCCCAAGAAGGAGACGAATCAGGCCCCGAGTACGTGCTGGCCGCCGCAGGGTTCCAGCTGGGGTGCAGCGGGAGCCGCCGTGGTCAGATACAGCATCCTGAGGCCCGGGAGGAGCTTGGAGGGTGTGCAGGGACTGGGGGGCCATCCTGGGGAGCGGGTGCGCTGCTGCTCTGTCGCCCCAGAGCCGCGTGCTGACGTGCCGGTGTTGGGGCAGATGTGGCTGAGAGCGCTCCCGCAACAGGGAGCTGCCCTTCTTGTCAGGGTTACATGCTAAAATCGCGACAAGGCGGAGACATTGCCCTTAAAAGCCCCTCACGTCACCTGTGACGTGCATGTGGGCTTTCTGAGCGCTCGGCACAGTCCCAGGGACGCCGGCACCGCCTCTCCTGCTCTCTCTAGGTCGGAACGGAGTGCACACTGTCTTTTTGCTTGAACGCCAGAGGAATCCTTTGGCTGCATGCTGTATAAAAACCACACTAGTGTCCAGCTGAGTTTGTGTGGTGAGGCGGCTCCGTGTGCGGGGCGGGTAGCATAGCCTCTGGGGGAGAGGCAGCCGGGAGGGCAAGGAGCTCCATTGGGTGGGCGGAGGCCTGGGGCCCTGCTGCTCGCCCTTGCTGGCCTTGAGCAAGCCGCCTAGCCACCTTTTTGTTTTCTTGTGTAAAATGAGGATCGGACCTCCTTACAGGGTAGCGTTAAGCGAGAAAAATCTATGTGACAGGATCGTGTCGTTCTTGGTGTGTGGGCACTCCATCAAGTTTTTAAAAGTGTTGTCTAAAAAGATCTCAAAACCAATTTTTTAAAAAAATGAGGAATGTAACATATATATTCATTCCCGAGAACTAGAAGGGTTCCGTATATGTATCAGAAAATGGCGGTCACCTGTGACCCCTCCTCCCAGCAGCAGTCACCATTGACAGGATGCTAGCTTACCTTCCTGGGTTGTCTTTAAGATTGATTTACTTGAGGGGGCGCCTGGGTGGCTCAGTTGGTTAAGCGACTGCCTTCGGCTCAGGTCATGATCCTGGAGTCCCGGGATCGAGTCCCGCGTCGGGCTCCCCGCTCAGCGGGGAGTCTGCTTCTCCCTCTGACCCTCTTCCCTATCGTGCTCTCTCTCTCTCTCATTCTCTCTCTCAAATAAATAAATAAAATCTTTAAAAAAAAAAAAAAGATTGATTTACTTGAGGGAGTGGGTGAGCGAGCGCATGCACAAGCAGGAGGGGCAGAGGGAGAGAGAGAAACTCAAAGCAGGCTCTGCGCTGAGGGTGGACCCGATGCGGGGCTCGATCCCACGACCCCAAGATCATGACCTGAGCAGAAACCAAGAGCCGGACGCTTAACTGACTGCGCTGCCCAGGTGGCCCTGGGGTTTCTGTTACATGCATCTTCTATGATAATAAGAACACAAACAATAGTAGCAGAGCTCCAGCCTGTTTCCCCAAATGGGCAGCACGCTCCCTGTGCTCAGTGCCCCCTGAAAAGCCCGTCCCCTGCCCCCAAGGGACCCTGGGGCCCGCGAGCTGCGTGAGGCACCCGGAATGAGTCCTCGTTCCGAGCATGCTCCCTGGAGACCCACTGGGGATGTTTTCGGCCTCGGTCTGTGCATCAGCGGGGCATATGAGCACCCAGGTGTTCTTAAAAGGTTTCGGGGCCTGGGGGTCTTCGTGCGAGAAGGGGGTATGAGCGGGTCTGCACAGGGAGGCGAGCACCCGCCGGGTAGAGCGTGCACCTCCTCAGACTGACCGAACCTTTCTGTCTGCCGTGCCCTGTCCCCGCAGAACCGAAGGCCGGCTCCCGGCCCCGCAAGCCGCCCCCGCGGAGGCCCAGCAGGACGTGGGCTGTGCTGAAGCTGCTGCTGCTGCTGCTGCTGTGTGCGGCAGGTGGGCTGCTGGCCTGTCGGGTGCCCGAGCTGCGGCGGCAGCCCCTCTGCGCTGGCGTCAACACCGTCTACGACAGCGCGGTCCGCGGCCTGCGCGGCCACGACATCCTGCAGTGGGTGCTGCAGGCCGACTCGCAGCAGTGAGCTTGTCCTCGACGCCCGCCGCCTCCCGGCCCTGGAGCTTGGATTCCTATGGAATTGGGTTCTGCGGGACACAGCCTGTTTGCGGCGTCAGACCTACCTGCCATCCTCAAGCGGCTGCTGACTGGTACTTGAGATCCCCTCTTCTGGGACTGCTTTGTTCCTTAGCCAGGGTTCCCGGGCGGGGTAAGGAGAAGCGGGAGGTGGGCTGGTTACCTGCATGCCTAAAGGAACAGGCTTGGGGTGGGCAGAGGGAAAAACTGCCTTTTCCAGTTGTTACACAAAGCTGTGTAAAGGCAAGGCTCGTTCCTACTAAACGGTCAGGTGAGCTATCACTACGTTTATACTTTTGTATGTCACAAACCCTTTCTTTCATTCCTCCCTGCGTAGCCAGGGCAGATCAGTAGGCAGTGTGGTATTGGGGACTAAAGGAACACCATACTCAGCAAATCTAGCCTAAATTGGGGGGTGGGGGGGGTATACCTATTTTCTTAAGGACCTCAGACATTTTAACGACCATACAAAATCTCAGGCTGTGAAGGGGACTTCAGGACCATCCAGTCCAATATAATACATGCAGACAGGGAAACTGAGGCCTTCCATGACTTGCCTGTGGTCTCCCAGCTAGTTTGAGGCACAACTAGACTCCCACTCCAGTATCCTCTCTTTCCATCATTTTTGCTTCTTTAACAATGTCTGGAGAGAACAGAACTCACAGCGAACTGAGCGTCTCTCAGCTGGGGTGCAGACTCTTGGACGGTAGGCAGCTTTGTGTCCCACAGATAGAACTCCCCCAGCCGTGAGGGTCCGGGGCAGCTCCTGCAGAGTCCTGCCCCCGCTCGTGTGGCTGTCACCAAACGGGCCGGGCTCCTCGACTCAGTGTTAGAGCATTCACTCCCTGATTGCCAGTAAACCAGGAGGTAGACCGTTGAGAAGCCATTCTGTGACAGCTGTCGGTAGTCGGTGTGACAAACTCAGAGGCAGCCTGCAAACTGAGGTTTTGTAGAGCCGGGGGTTTGGCATTGTTTGGGTCTAGACCTAGAACCACCCCCGCAATGAAGGGAAACAAGTAGCACCATGGAGTTTTAAGTGGTGTGTTTACAAACGGCTAGCACAGACGGGGGCAGGACTGTCCGTTGTCCTGTCTGCCAGAGGAAGCCTCTTCTTGCTCTGTGGTCTCCTTGGCCTCCTGCTTTCACAAAAGCCAGAGGAAGGGATAAGACATGGTCGTCATGGTGCTCATTCACTGAAAACTCTCCATGGCAAGCTTGTCTCTCCCTCAGGAGAGCAAGAACCTGTCATGATTCAGAGACAGAGTGGGGTCCAGCTTTCAGCCTTAGTGGCTCATTTGGATAGGACAGCCACTCGTGACTGTCCTCATACTGGAAGAGCAACTTGTTCCCCTCCCCCCACCGACAGCTCTGCTGCAAAGGCCCACACCTTACTCAGAATCACTACACATTCCTTCGTCTTCCTCCAAGCTCCAGAGCCATTGGTACAAATGCTTTATTGAAACTAAATACATGTGAAATGAGATTAAGAGGATAGGGAAGTCAGCATATGGATCAGACCCACATGCAGGGGGCTGGCTGAGGCGGGCTCCGTGGGTGAGAGGGAGGCAGGGCACACACAGCCCCATCTGGCCAGCCCGCTGAGGGAAGTTCACTCCTGATCTCGAGATCTGAAGCTGAGGTTCTTCTGGATTTCTACAATCATTAAACATGTGTCTGAGTGGTCTGTCTTTGTTCCTTCGTGTTTTGAGAGCTGCTGGGGTAGGGTGATTTGTGCACGGCAGCAGAGTTTCGCTGGGAGAGGGACACTGAATGCTTGTGCAGGTGAACGCAAGTATCTCAGCTGTCTGTCCCAAGTTGGCAGGGAGACTTCTACGGATACTGACACCCAGGAAGGAGTCTGTGGTGAGCCCGGCCCAGGCTTGTGCTCCGGGAGGTGCTCCCAGCCTCTTCCTGTGGTCCCCTTCGAGCTGGGTGAGGTGAAAATCTCCAGCTTTTCATCCTGGTCCCCCAGGGCTGGCATCAGTCTGCACTGTCTAAAGAGAGATCTGGCTGCAGACCAGTCATCTGAAGGTAGATGCGCCTGGAGAGCTCTGGTCCAACACGGCGGGAGGTGGCGGTCACGCCTTCCCCACGGCGCACCTGTATGTCTGCGAGCAAATTCTGGCGTTCTTGCTCCGAGAGACACCGCCTGTAAGCCTGAAGTGGCAAATGACCTCTCAATACTGTACTACCCAGGGTCACCCCTGTCCATCAACAAGGGGGCAGTGAGCTTGGGTGGGGGGGATGAGAACCTGTCCACTGTGCCTGGGTCAGTGTTCACTGATCTCGGCAGGCCTGTACTGCTGACTACCAGTGCCCTCCACGGAAACTGCCTGGGAGTCCACTAAAGCCACAGGGTGTTGGGGGATGACCGCCGGAGCAGCCTACCTGGACCAGAAGCTGGGGGGAGGGATATGTGTCCACAATGGCGCTGGCCATTTCCAGGCTGACTCGGTTCAGCTGCTGAATCTGTCTCCTCCAGACCAGTGCAAGTCCCCTGCCCGTGTGGTCCACCTTTGCCCCTCCAGCCCAGTCACTCTCCAGGCAGAAGGAGAAACTAGTTTGGTCTCGAAGCTTCCTGTGAACAGCAGTTGAAGAGCTGAGTCACTCGTCACTCCATCTGTCCCCTTCACTGGGAACTTAAAAACCCTCCCTCCACCGACCTCACGAGCGCCTATTTGGGTGCTCACTTTGTCCCCAAGCAGTGCTAGTTGCTGGTTCCCTTAAAAATGATATCTAGTCCTTCTCATTAAGAGAGAAGGTGCCAGAAAAGTACCAGATTGTTTCCCATGTTGACATTGGGTTGTATGGACCAGAGGCAGTGTGCACGCGGACAGCCACTAGGGACCGGCTGTCAGGCAATCTGGGAGTCTGGTTCCACTTCTCACTTGCTAGGAGCTCAGACAGGGCAGTCTTCAGGCCTCTGTTCCCTGGGGTAGAAAATGAGGGACTTGGACTGGACTGAGGTCCCCTACTATTTTAAATTCTGACCATGAACACTCCCAGAGCTAAGTAGGCTAAGAGTTTGTTTTATGAGGACTTACGACATCGTGACCTGACCTGGGACGATCTTGGTAACCTGGCTCACGGGTGACCCAGCACCAGCCTGGAGAACATGAACTTACAGAGGAGCTACTGCAGAACGTTTTAAAGGGACTGGGCTTGAGGGCTCCTCACAAGCATCCCCAGCACGAGGTTGGCTCTGTCCACCACCAGCCTCACAGACAAGGGGCTGGCGGCAGAGTTCAGGGGAAAAGGACATGTGTGGGGACCAGAACCGCTACACGGCACAAGGCCCAGCAGTGGAGCCAAGACTTGCTGGGGCACTCACTTGAAGGGCGCCTCAGCCACAGCCTTCGTAAACGCGCATGCGAAGTCAGCCAGCTCTTTCCAGCTCTGCACCATTCGGGCCTGGGCTTGTGTGTACAGCTGCATATCCACCAAGGCCTAGGGACCCAAAAGCAGGACGGGTTGGAGGGGCGGAGGGAGACTTGTCTGAGGTTCCTCTCTCACGCCCACCGAACCTGCACCCCAGCCCCTTGGCTCCCTGTTTAGCCCCCTCTCTCCTACTCAATGCCAAGGCAGAAAGGCGTGTCCGGCGGGCACTTGGCTCCTGATCTAGAGCAAATTGGGTTCAATGAGAGTGGGAGCCCAGCCTGACTCAGGCAACACGAAGTTCTTACCTCTTCCACGTCTACCCTGGACACCATGCACCCTGTGTTGGCCGCTGGTCGTCTCTGCTTCTTCTCCTTGGCCTGTTCCCTATCTGCCACTCCCTGCTTCCTTCTTCTTGGAGGGTTTGGAGCACTGTAACTGGGGAGGAAATCAGACAGCAGCAGCTCCAGGCTGAGCTCGGGCAGAACAGGGGTGAGAGAGCAACCAGAGCATAGGGCTTGTTAGGGGGACCCAGATGTGGGATGAGTAAGGTCTCCCCTGGTGGAGCTGCCCCTTTTCATGCTAAGTCTCGAGGACCAATTCAAACCTGAAGCATTGCCCCTGATCCACAATCACCAGCGACAGAGCTTTCCCAGCTGCCCTTGCTGTGGCATCAGTCACAAAGCTCCGCAGCGTCTCCTTCCCCTTCTCAGTGCCGCCCGCACTTCCCTGCGTGAAGGGCAGACACTGTGTTAACGTTCGTTCCCTAGGCTCGGCCCTCTGTCCCATGCCTCAGCGCCCAGCCTGCTCTGCCCACCTCCTTGAAGTTCTGGACCATGGACACGAACGCCTCTGCCGGGAGCAGCGCCAGGACCATCGGTTCCTCCACCCAGTCTTCCTGTCCATCCTGCCAAAGGACCCGGAACCCAGCATAGGGAGGCAGGTCAGCAGGTGCTCAGCACCTGTGAGAGAGACCCAGGCCTTTGGGGTGAATGAACACACCCGCACCAGCCGAGCCCATTTTTGCATTATTCTTTTTCTTCTGGAATGAAGCCAGGTGGCAAGAAATGATAACCCATGACCCCGTCCCTCCCCAGTCCTCTCAACTGTCCAACTTTGGTGAACCGCCTCTCAGAGGTGGTGAAGAAGAGGAGTTGAAATGGGCTGAGAACTGCCAGTGTTTCTGTACGCTCTGGATAGGGGAATGGAGGGAAAGGAAACTTCCAGAGCGTTTTGTGCAAATAAGTACTTGGCCTCTGAGGGCAGAGGCTGTCCAGGAGGTGAGTGGCTCTTACAGACACACGGGTTGTGTGTGACAAAGACGAGAGCCACGAGGGGAGCTGCTGCCCGGGAGGGCCCATCCTCTGCACCATTGCCACAGGGCGGCCTCCCGCGAGACACTCCCGCAGCAGTCGGAGTGACGGAGCCCTGGGAGCAGGGCTCGTGGGGAGGCTTTTCTCACTGGGTCCCTATAAGCCAACGCTAAGACCCATAATACAGCCAAGTGTGGCGGCAGGAGCGCTGGCCTCTAGTTTCCGCTCCGCCACCAATCAGCTGTGACCCTTCACAAAACTTTCAACTTCTCCCACCCAGCTCCCCGCCTGTGACGTGGGGTGACAGCTCCCTCCGTGTATGGGGACTGCCACGGGCATGGGAGCAAGAATGTGGAAGCGCCTTGAAAAGTCACTGCGATATGAATATAAAGATTTGCTAATCCCCCGAATTAAAAAGTGTGCAATTGCCATAAATTACTGAGAAAATAATGAGATCCAAATGAGAGGGGAAGAATTTTGTTTCAGGCTCCATACCCAACGTGGGGCTTGAACTCATGACCTTGAGATTACGAGTCTCATGCTCCACCAACTGAGCCAGTCAGGCGCCCCAAGAGAGGAAAAAAATCTTAATGTTTCATCTAGAGACCCTTACAAATGTGGAGTATTTTGGATTCGCAGATAAGAGGAGTGGAAGGCACAGGAGCTGTAGAAACCTCGGGAGCCTGGGCCAAGGAACGAACGTTTGCTGTGTGCCTACTATGTGCTTGGGGCTTGGTTATCTCAGTCCCAACATGGGGCACCCAAAGGGATACAACAGTGCTGCTGTTTTACAGATGAGGCACAAAGAAATGAAATAATTTGCCCAGGGTCATAGCAATAAAGCCCTGGGGCCTGAAATTCAAGCACAAGCCCACCTATTCCCAAAGCCCAGTGTCAGAAATCCTATGCAGATTATCTGCCTTCTGCCCCGCAGGTCCACTCTCCCCCTTCCCGCTCTGCTCTCTGCAGAAGACCACATCACCAGGCCCTCTGGTGCAACTGGCCAAATGGGAATGGTGGGTGGGAAACCCAACAGGAGACTGGAGAGGAGAGGGGAAGGAGGGAGGGAGGAGTGAAGTCGAGCTACTTCCCTGGCTCCCTCGAAATGGGTCACTTAGGGTTTGCTATGTTCCTCTACGGGAGGTCAAGCTTCTCTCAAGGGGGTCCTCTCTACATTTCTCTCTCCTTCTGGATTCTGCGAACCACTTCCTCCCTTCATCTCTTCAGGCCTAGGGATGGTAACAAATATGCTGGGGTCCTCAACCAGGGCCGATTTTTCCCCACAAGGGACGTGTGGCAACATCTAGACATTTTCAATTGTCAGGACTGGGGGGGGGTGGTGCTTCTGGTATCGAGTGGGCAGAGGCTAGGGAGGCTGCTCGACCTTCTATAGTGCACAGGACAGCCCCTCACAACAGAGAACTATCCGATTTGAAATGCTGACTATACCCGAGGTGGAGAGTCCCTGAGTTAGTGGTGTCATTACCGTGAGGTGCTGTGTCGTCCCTTGTAGTAGCCCTGTACCCTGCCCACGCTTTAGAACACTGTTCCTTTCTTACATCTTCCTCAGATTATCCTCAGTCGAGCGTGCCAGCTGATTTCCTGCTGGGACCCTGACTAATATTCTTTAGAATGAAAGTGCATTTATCGGGGAGCTCGGAGGGGGAGGAGAGACATCAGCCAGAAAACTGCTACCTCAGCTGGTGCAGCCCTTCTCCTCCAGGTGATGCTGCAGGGCACGGCCTGCGCCTCGATCATACAGCGGCACTCCATGGACTGCAGGGCTCCGAGGAGCTGGCCTCCCCCTTCCGTCTGCAAAAGCACTGCAACAGACGATGAGAGAGGGGCGGTCAGGGGCTGGCCCAGAAAGCGGGCACCCCAGCTCGGGAGGAAGACACATGCTAGGAGGACCTGGATCCAGCCCCACGACGATGTGCTTTAAGCATTCCTCGGGCCTCTGAGCTTTCAGCCTATTAACCGGGGCTGCCTTCTTCGTCCTCTCCTGTTGTCTCCGCGGCTGGCATCCCTGCAAGCCTCTCCTCTGGACCTTCTGGCTATGCTTGGTTCTCTTCTGAAATGGGGGGACCTCAGCATTTGTTTTGGTTATGGTCCAGCTGCCATTCGGGACAGGGCAGGTAGCTTTGAAGGCCAGAAGCTGATGGCGTGGATTGTCTCCCGCAAGGCCCTTGTTAGTTGATGCATGTCTCTCTGAGGTTTCGTGGAGGGGAAGATCAGGGACCTTTGGAAAGGGTTGTTTTTCCCAGTCACGTGATGCTCCTTCACTATTTTGATGATCCCATACACTTTTAACTGGGGAGCTAGAATCCTCAGGGCTCAGTTGCTTGCACGTCAAAAACTTACACGTAAGCCTCTCAGCCAGGGGAGCTAATTCTTCCTCATCCTCACTTTCACTGCTTAGCACCCTAACTGGCTCTGTTTGTGTGACAGGTTCAGCCATGTCTGGGATAGGTGGTACATCTTTCAACCTTGGTGACGGAGGACAGGAGGCCTCAGAATCCGAGGTGTCAACCACAACGATTTTTGCCTCCCTCTGAGGCTGGCTCCTCTTTGTTGAAGATGGTTCCTTCTTCAGGAAGGCAAATGTTGGCAACTCTTCCGAGTCACTCTCACTGGAATCCAGTGCAAGCGATGACTTCTTTAGAGCCATCAATACGTGCTGTCAAATTAATCCCCTGAAAGGAAAAGAGATGAGATGCAGACTGTAGCACTGAACTCAGTCCATTAGACATGTTCTGTGGCCAAACTTTATGGAAATACATATAATATAGAAACAGAAAAACAGGATACTGTCCCAACACATTCAATCTGAACTCAGCTGTCTGTAGTCTAACAGGACTCCTCAAATCCTTTCTAGGTCAAGGTGACCTAGAAACAAAGTGGAGATTACTATCAGAAAATGTTAATGCAGTAGTAACAAGACTCAACACCACCCCCTTGCTGATCTCTGCATTTGAAATGCAGATGTCAAGTCATCCTTTCTTTAAAATTTGAGATATAATTCACATACCATAAACTTCTCTTTCAAGTGTACAGTTCAGTAGTTTTTAGTATATTCACAAAACTGTGCATCACTAATTCCAGAATATTCTCATCACCCCAAAAAGAAATCCCATAGCCATTAAGCAGTCACTGTTCACTTCCCCATCCCCCAGCTCCTGACAACCATAAATCTACTTCTGTTTTTTATGGATTTGCCTGTTCTGGATAGTTAGTACAAACAGAATCATACAGCCTGTGGTCCTTTGTGACTGCCTCCTTTCACTTAGCATGTTTCTCAAGGTTCATTTATGTTATGGCGTGTGTCAGTATTTCATGTCAGCATTTCCATAAAAAGCTGAGTAACATTCCATTGCATAGATCTGCCACAATTTGTTTCTCTGTTCAGCACTAACGGATATTTGGTTTCCGGGTTTTGCCCATTATGAATAATGCTGCCATGAACATTCATGTCCAGGTTAATTCTCTTGCATGTATACCTGGAAGTGCAACTGCAGGGTCGTGTACAAGAATCACTCTTCGAATAAACGTTCACTAACACTGTAGGTGTAACCCCGGATGGGCCACGTAACCTCTCTGAGCCTCGCTTTCCAATATAGTAAAACAGAGATGATAACAACGCCTACTTCGTAAGATTGTGCGAAGTAACTGAAATCGTGCCTTTACCAGCGCTTAGCACAGCACGTAGCCGATAGTAAGCACTCGGTAAATGACGCTGAAAGTCTAGGGAGGGACCTCCTCTGAGTCCGCTCCCTGCACCTCGCCGGAGTCCGGCAAACCGAGGTTACCTGCCAGGCCGGCCCAGCGCGTCCTCACCGCCCGGCGGAGCCCCGGACACCCTGGTCACCGAGGCCCTGCCGGGCGGCGCTCAAAAATCCGGCCCCAACCCGCCGCCCGCCACCCGCCACGCCAGCTCTCACCTGCGACTCTTCGCGCCACTCTTTCAACTGCAGCGCAGGCCCCGGAAGCAGATCGCCCGGTAGCGGAAGCAGATTTCTGAGACCGGAAGCCAGTGAACGGCAAACATGGCGTCGGTGGCGCTGGCGCTAAGGACGCGGGCGGCTGGTAACGGGACGCCGTCGCAGTTGCGGGGCGAGGGGTGCAAGCGGAGCGGGGACCCTGCAGGGAGCCTGAGGGTGGAGGCCGTTCCCTGTGGAGGCCCGTAGGCGCCGAGCCGGGAGAGGGCGGGGGGCCCTCGAGCTTTAAGGGGTAGCTGTCACTGACCACGTCGGGCGCCCGGCCTTCGGTGGTGGTTCGAGGAGCATGTGTCCTTCCTTTGCCCCGCGCGCAAGTACACCTTCCCTAGCGTTTGGTGACGTGGGCACGCCGCTTCCACTCCGTGGATCCCTTCATCTATAAATACTGGCACACTGGAGCTCAGAAAGTTAACAGATTGAAGTGTTTGTGCCAGACAGTGCAGTTAGGTGTTGGGGATCTCAGCAGAGATGAGGACAGTCTCTATCTCCCGGACCGGTTCTTTCTAGTGGATAAGCCAATAAATAAGCACAGAAACAAAATGGTTGTAAATTGTAACGAGTGCTGTTAAAGAAAGCAAAAATGTGTGTGTTTGCTGTCTTCTTGAGGGTTGGTGGTCAGGGAAGCCCTTCGAGGAGGTAACATCTAAGTTAAGATCTAAAGGATGACGGGAGGCCTAGCCCTGGTAGAGAATGAGGGGCAGGAGAGTGACGTAAGCCAGTTTGACATGTTGAGAAGCAAACCATTGCTCGTACATGAATTTAAAAGGGGGTAGGAGTGGAAATGAGGAAAACAGATGGGAAGCTGTAATAGTAGTCCTGATGAGACATGATTTAGCCAAGATGCTAGTGTCAGTGAACTTGGGGGGAAATGGGTGGTTTTAAGATCAGTTTTGGAGATAAAACCCAGAGTTTGCTCCTTAGCTGGATATATGAGATGAGCAAAGGAAAGTAATCTGCAATGACTCTTTGATTTCTGCCCAAGCAACTGCATAGTTGGTAGCATCCTTTACTCTGAGGTGGAGGATGGGAAGTAGGCTGAAGGGCAAAGATTTGTGAAGGAGATAATGTAGATAAAACAAAAGCCCCATTCCTCAGCTTAATAAGTTAGAGGATGAATGAATAAATAGATTTAAAGGAAGGTAGATCTTGGTGCTGGGCGTTTAACATGTCTTTCTAAGCATTTATTTCTGGTCCTTTGTCCCAGCTACTCTCTATTGTTAAAACTTCAGAAACCTGGTTTCAGGAACTCTGAACTTGTAGGCTCTGGAGACTCACAGGGCTTCTCTAAAGATTCTGGCATAGCCCTGATTGACCATGGCTGTGTCTGGAGACCTGAAAGCAAGGACTGCCAGCCCTGTGCTTGTCATATAGCAAGTTGCTTCCAACTTGGTTAATATGAATTTTAGTTCACTCTCCTTTCAAAAAGAAATGCCACTGAGCATTTTGGAATGAGTATGGAGAAGTCAGGTTGTTAAGGGCAGGGCGTCAGTCTTCTTGGTCAGGACCCGTACTGGGTGGGCTTGCTGACGAAAGAGTCCAGCCTTCTGAAATAGCTAAGAGCCTGTGGGAGCCACCCTCCGAGAAGCTGCCCTTTTTGTTTACAAGTATTTGGTGTGCAGGGGATGGGTGAATGGTTGAGAAAGTGGTGGGTGACGCCAAAGCAGGACCCTCTCTCTGGGTGTCCTATTGCTGGGTTCTGTGGTCCAGCCCCTCCACAGTGTCTGGAGCCTTGAGGACATGTGGTGAGTGAGGCTGAAACTGGCAGCTCTGTGGTGTCCTCTTGCTGGCTTAGATTTCTGTGGTGTTTGTTTCTCTTCAACAGGACTGAATGTGTCAGGACCCAAGGCACATGGTGTTTATTTTCTTTCCGTGAATATTTCACTGCCCGCTGCCTCCCCCGGCCACACACACACTTCTCATGCAGTGCATACGCCCTGGACAATACAAGGAGTGACTTGTCCCCTGCCGTGGAGAAGGCCAAGGACTTTCAGACACTCCCTGAAAACCACCAACACAGTCGAGTGGCATTTCTGCTCACGTATCTTCCTCACCTCCCCTGCCACTACCCCCGCCATCTCTCAGCTTACCAAATGGCCCACTGAGGCAGAGAAAGAGTGATTGGAAGTCTCTCTGAACAACATTCTGTTCTGTCTGCAGTTTCAGCCCTGCTGAGCCCCCCTCAGGCTGCGTCTCTTGCCATCAGATATGCATCCAAGAAGACAGGTGGCAGCTCCAAAAACCTGGGTGGAAAGTCACCAGGCAAACGCTTTGGCCTCAAGAAAATGGAGGGTGAGTGTGTGCCTTGGCTTCCATTTGCCAGCTGCACCCTCCCTTGCTGTCCCTGGCATTCCTTTGCAGAACAGGAAAACCATGCCCCCTCCTGGTCCTGTACTCTCCGCTTAGCTCGCCAGAGCACTTGGCTCCAGATTACAGATGCAGAGAAGACCTGAGGCAGGGAGGGGGGTCCTGAGGAAGAGCAGATAGGTGTGAACCTGGGCCATGTGACTGGAGAGAAGAGTGTGGAGACTGGCAGGGGTGGTTCAGGGGGTGAGACTGGCAGGGGCAGACGGGGGCTGCTTGTGTCCGAGCGCGTAGGAGTTGGTTTTGTCCAGGGTCAGGCTTAGAGGTTGGTGTGCAGCGTTTGGGCCAGGAAATCGAGGGCTGGTATGTTTTTTTAGCAGTTTGCTGTGCTGCCCCATCACTGGGGCCCACAGTCAGCGTGCTTGTGGACTTTTCTTCTAGGTCACTATGTTCATGCTGGCAACATCCTTGCGACTCAGCGCCACTTCCGTTGGCACCCAGGCGCCCATGTGAGTTGCTCTGTGGCCCTTTCCCCTTTTTTCTTTCCCAGGACCACCTCTCTCTGTTCCTAAGCATGGTAGTGATAACAAAACAGTTGTGTTTTTGGGATACTTAGCAAAGGCCAAGCATCATTTTGCTTCCTGGGCCTGCATTGTCTCATTTCATCCTTAGCCCATCCCCGTGATGCACTAGGTATCACTAGGTATCCATTTTCCAGGTAGGATGCCAGAGACTTAGGGAATGGAGGGGCCCACATGGCAGAGCTGGGGTTCGTGCTGGGGCTGCCTACCTCCCAGTCACTGTACTTTGCCTTGTGGAGCATCAGCCTGGTTCTCTTGGGTCTCCTTTTTTTTTTTTTTTTTAAAGATTTTATTTATTTACTTGAGACACAGAGAGAGAGATAGAGCATAAGCGGAGGAGGATCAGAGAGAGAGGGAGAGCCTGATATGGGGCTCAATCCCAGGACCCTGAGATCATGACCTGAGCCGAAGGCAGACGCTTAACCAACTGAGCCACCCAGGTGCCCTGGGTCTCCTTTCTAACCCCCACCTGTTAGAGGAGGAGATGCCTAGTGATTTGAGATACTTTCTGAATCTTGGGAAACTAATTTCAGTGTATTCCTTTTTCCTTCTTGCTAATCCTCTTTTGCATAAAATTGTTATTAGATGGCTGAAAGATACTTTGAATTTAATAAAATAGAATTCAGTGTATGTGCCAGAAACCAGGTCCATATCAGGCAGGGATTTCAGTTTTCAGCAAGTTGGGATTACTTCTTGAGGTAGGAAGGTTCTTTGTTAACACAGATCTGTACCGTACTCTTTTATTTTTTTTTTTTAAGATTTTTTTTTAAGATTTATTTATTAGAGAGAGTCTGAGTTCCCAGCTGAGCTTGGAGCCTGTCTTGGAGGCCTGATCTCA